GGAACCAAAGAAAAGAAATAAATTAGAAATACATATTTATATCTATATATTTGTCTACATAATTACTTAATACAATTAAAACAAATTAACAAACATGATAAATAATATAAAAAAATTTTTTTACAATGCTTTTTTTTGAAAACAAGAATGTGTGAGCCCTTCCCAACCCAGATCCAACCAGCCATCACTGTGTGTGATCCCATTGTCGGAAAGGCTCCAGGAGAAGCTGAGCTGGTGCCAGACACTCCAGCCATGAGCTGTGTGCACGTTCCCTGCCCGCTGCTGGATGGCTCCTGCAGCCTCTGGGGCTCTGCTGAACGGTGTCCTCAGGTCACCAGGACTTGGTGTCACCACCTGCCTGCAGATTAAGCGACATTTTTCTCTCTCCTTTTGAGAATAAAAGCCTGATCCTTGTGGAAGCGCATCGAGGACATGACTGGAGACAAATAAGGTGCAGAATAATCCTGGCCGGGTGGGTGACAAGTGGCCTTGTGCTGTTGGAACGGAGCGTTGTGTCCAGGACCAGGCGTCCCTTCCTGTGCTGGGAGGGGGAAGGGGGTGAAGGGCAGTAATCTGAATTCCCCAGATTTTAAGGCAATTAAGGACACTTCAACCACGGCTCCTCCTGCTGCTCCATCCCACTGCCAGTCTTCCCTGGCATACGGAGATGGATGGAGTAGGAATAGCGGTGACGGGTGCTCGATGCCATGCCTACAGCAAAAATAGATGTGGTTGGGCTGCGATGATGCAAAGCCAGAAGAATCCTTCTCCTCCGGTTTCTCCGGCTTTGCTTTCAGCGTGGCTCCTGCCTGGCTGTCATTTGTCACCGGTGCTCATGGCTCCTCCATCCCCAGCACATTTTTTGGGGGTGATTTTAAGCTGAAATTGGTTGATAAAGTCCTTTTCAAAGATCTTACCCTTGTTGTTCAGGTCATTCCTGCCTCCTCAGGGATGAGCGATCAACAGGAATTAGGCAGGTTCATTTTATGAGGTCACTGCCACTGGGAAGCAGTGGGAGAAACACGAGGTTGTGGGATTAATTAGTGCCCCTGGGATGCAATACTCATTTACTACTCCTCAAACCAGCCTTCTGCCAGAGCTGGATGTAAGAGAGGAGTCTCCTGCAGTTACCTGCATGAGATCATCCCTCCTGCCCCCAATTTTTGGCTTTGCAGAAAGAGCTCAACAAACTTCTGCAGATGCTTTCCCAACCCTATGGAGCTGATACTGTTTCCCAGTTTTGGTGGATCTGTCTTGGTCCAGATGTGATGCTCAAGGGAAGTCTGTGCTTTAGGGAGGAAGATTTCAGAGCACTGGTACAAAACAGCTGGAGAGACAGCAACCAGATGGAAAAAAGGTCCTAAAAGTGGTGCAGGATCCAGCAGGAAAGGGAAAGCACCTTCCAAGGGCAGCCTTGTAGGCAAGATCATTCTTCCTGGGAAAGAGATGCTGGCATGGAATGAGTCTGGAATGCAGTAGCAAGACTGATAAAATGAGCAATGAGAGCTTGAAGGAGGGTTTGTTTAGTCTGGAAAAGGACGGGATAACCCACTGTGTGTGAAGGGCTGCCTTGAAAAACAGGACAAACTAGGAAAAAAACGGAGTGTTTGCTTGGTTGGACACGAGAAGGAGATGCTGTTCCTCAGCTGGTGGTTTTGGGAGGTCGGGGCAAACATCTGGGACTACCAAATCCATGTTGGGGCCAGCCTCTGAGCTCAGGATAAACATCTGGCCCACAACTCCATTTTATCCCGAGCCTTTGGTAAGCCTGTCTCAGAGCAGGCAGGTTGGGATACACAAGGTTTCATCACCCTCTTCTGCTGGACTTGTCTTATGGGGACTGGTTGGCCTCTGGGTAACAGAGCAGGGCTGGAGCACCTGTGTTGGGTCTCTCCTTGGATCCCACATCCTCAGAGGGTGTTGGGAATAGGACAGAGAAAGGACAATGGGAGGAGGGAGGATCCTGCCTCCAGCCAGCAGGGATGTGGTGGCTCCAGAAGTTACCCCTGCAGTAATTCAGTGGAAAAGCCCAGTGACCTAGCCCAGGAGGAACCTGCAAGTTTTCCCTGAATCCTTAAGGATATTTTTCACTATTCATCATGCAGAGAATGTCAGGAGAGCTTCATCCCACCCCTGCACTGTTGGGATTGGGAACAAGTTGGGAATGCAGCTGCTCATTGCTCCATGGGGGACACTTCTGGCTGCTGAACCTGCACAGGTGAGGCAGTGCCAAAACAAAGCCCCGAGTAAACCCTGTCCTAAAAATGAATCCATTTCCTTCACAAAAGGACTTGATTTGTTCTCCCAAGCGTGTGGTAGAGGTGACTGTGGCACGATACAGCACAGTGCCAGAGCAGCTCCCACCTGCCCCTCACCACTCTGAACAAGCCACGAGGCAGCTCCAGGCTGGGCTGATCCCAAATTTCCCTCATATGGTGGTGATGAACTGTCTGAAATTTTGTTTTTTGGCTTTGAGAAACCTCCCAGCCAGAGAATGGTTCAACTGCTACAGACGTGAGGGAAGAGCTTCAAGGACTGGCATGGATTCAGCCCACCTTGGGAGGTAGGATTATCCCTCAGGAAGAGCAGAGCTGAGAAAATAATTCACAATTTGTTTGGAAAATGCATCCATGCTTTTCAATCGTTTTGCTCATCTTTTGCTGGGACATGAGTGATTTCAGAAATTTCCAAGTCTGTAGCACTGGGGAATGCCAAGGTGGAGGCACTAGCATAGCTGGATAATTAAATTAGTGCCTGTGTTAATTACAGCTGCACTGGGGCTGAGCATGAGTGAGACATTAATGATGGGAATGGAGCACAGGCAGCTCTGAGTTTCGCTGACTCTCCCAAGGTGATGTCAAAGGTATGGATCAGTGGGAACACAGTGTGGAGTAAAGCACTAAGGAGGGTCCTGTGGAACTGTGCATTCCCTACCCAAGCAGGAAAACAAAAGGATTTGACAAACAAAAGGATGGGAGCACCTGCACTGTGTGTGATCAATCTGCTGGAGCTGGAATGTGAACCACAAAATAAATCCCCAATGAAGGAGCTGCAAGGAAAAATGGGATTTTTAGGAGCTGATGGAATTCCATGAGCAGAGAGCACAAGCACCATTTGTGCAAGGGGTGCCTGAATGTACTGAACCCACAACTGCCTTGATACTGCACAGCTCCCACCCAGCTTCCACAATCCCTCCAGGGCCCCTCCTCATGCCCAGGGAAAGGCAGGAGATGCCACAGGGACAGAAGCATCTCCTGTGCAGGGAGAGGCTCAAACTAGCCCAGAGGAAATTCCACCTGCATCTGTGGGGAGAGGACAGCAGCACAAACAGCTCCTGGTTTCCTTTTTCCCCTCCACGTGCTTCCAAGGTTTTTATTTGTCCTCTGCTGACGGGAAAGCAGGTCGGGAAAGGGCACAGCCTGTCACATCTCTGCTGGAGCAGCAGTTGCTGGCTGGGATTCCTCACTGCCCTGGTGGGATGCATGGGGGTCAGGGCAGGCTCCTCCCTCCCATGGATCATTCCTACCTCACTGCTGGCAGAGCACCAGGCCAGCCAGCTGTGGGTTCCAGCACCTCACATCCCACAGCCTGTCAGCTGTGCCACAGGACAACACCACATCCTGGGAACATCAGGGCCCGGGCTGTTCCTGCACTGAGCCCTTGGAATGATGCAGCAGCAGGAGTGCTGGACAACAGGCTCTCCCCACAGCAGCTACAGCCCCAACGCCTAGATCAGCTTTAACATGGACAACACCCATTTCCTCTGGTACCCTTGCTGGGATTTGCATCTGGATCTGAGCATTACCAGCACCCCATGTCCCTTACAATGACACTGAGGGGCTGGAGTGTGTCCAGGGAAGGGAACAGAGCTGGGGAAGGGGCTGGAGCACCAGGAGAGGCTGAGGGAGCTGGGAAAGGGACCCAGCCTGGAGAAAAGGAGGCTCAGGGGGAACCTTCTGGCTCTGCACAACTCCCTGACAGGAGGGGACAGCTGGGGAGGGTCAGGATCTGCTCCCAGGGAACAGGGGGAAAGGGAACAGGCTGTGCCAGGGGAGGTTGAGCTTGGACATCAGGTGGGATTTCTTCACGAAAAAGGTGGTCAGACACTGGAAGGAGCTGCTGAAGGAGGGGGTGGAGTCCCCAGGCCTGTGGATGTGGCTCTTGGGGACACGGGTGAGTGGTGGCCTTGGCAGTGCTGAGGAATGGCTGGAGTCCATCTTAGAGGACTTTTCCAAACTAAATGATTCCATGATGCACTGTGGCCTTGCAATGCTCCCATCAAGCATGGCCCTGGCACAGAGATTTGGGACACTCTCAGCACAGGAGCCATGTGACACATTCCAAAAAATGTGTCACCAGGAGCAGCCAACTCAGCTCTGAATGGGCTCTTACTGCTCAGACAATTTAAAGTAATTACTGCCACGGTCCTGTTGTCCCCTCTAGACAGTTAAAAACAGGGAAGTTTTAAAAATTACCTGGATAATTTGTAAATCCCTAACACACCTGGTGCGCTGCTCTTTGCCACCTCCTCTCCAGGCAGCTGAAGCAGATAGGGGCTGTTCCCTCAGTCCCTTCCTCTGCATGATGGCACACCATTCCTCAAACTTTGTTCCACAAAAATCACCAGTTTTGAGTCTAGAAATTTCCATTATTTCCACAAAACCCCACATTCTCACCACAAACTAATGTGGAAAACTCCTCCAACACAAGATTAAAAAATAACTGACTCACAGATCCAAGTGCACAAATTCACTACGTGGTATGACAGATACACGGTGAAGTGTTGGCCCAAAATCTTTTAAATACAAGAGGCAACAGCTGAACACCCAAATGAGGGAGTCAGCGCTGATTTCACAAGTGAGAAATGGACTTGAGAAGCACCTCAGGTGCAATTTACTTGTGGGACACCAAAAGACTGGTTCTTCCTGGAAGGAATGGATGGCACTTGCCCTGAGATTACCTCCACGCTTTTGTTTTCTTGGCAAAAATAAGTAGGAAAAGAAAAAAAACAAACATCTTTTTATTTTATTTTCTTGCTTTCGGAAAGCATTTTACACAGGTTTGGATCTTGGGAATAACTTGGAATCAGTAGAAAAAACTAACTCAACAGTTTTTGTCTTTACAATAGAAACCTTTCAGGAATCAAAATGGAGACTAAAAAAATACATGCAAAACATACTCCTTTCAAAACACAACTGGAAACAAAGCACCAAACTACACAAATATGCAGAATGAAACAGCATTGAACACCACAGAACTTGTCTTCATAAAAGGTGTCAAAGTCACCTAATTCACTAGGCACTGTCACTTGGTTAAACAGAAGAGACAATAAAAAAATATTGTCCACAAACTTGCAATTTCAACTCAAAGGCTGTAGCTAGAAATTCCTCTATGTGTCATGCTTTAATAGCGACCTGAAAGACAAAAACCCAACAGTCAGACTTCAAGGATTGAGAGATTTCTCGTTAAATCCACTGCCTCTCCTCAAACCTCCAAACTGTCAAACTCCTGTTTGTTTCAGAACAGAGTTCTGGAGGAAGAAACAGGATCTCAGACTCAAAACAAGGGCTGCTATCTCATTTGGTTTTTCCTAAGTATTAGCTCTGTCCTCAAGGCTGCCAGTTGCTCAATGAAGCATTAAAGGAACTGTGGCTCAATAAAATATCCACACCAAAGTCAATCTTAGTGGACACAGATGCTCAAAAAGTTCAAGGAATGGGAAATTTACTTTTGAGAGGTGAACTCTGTGACTGGGCCAGGCCCAGTTAAGGCCAGGTTAGGGCTAGGAGCAGCCTGGTGTATGGAAGGTGTCCCTGCCCATGGCAGGAGGTGAAATGGGATCAGCTTTAAGGTCCCTCCCAACCCACACCATTCCACGAGTCCCTGGGTACTTACGAGGTGAGTAGGACCGGGATCTGGACCGGGATCTGTAGCCCCCTCGGCTGTAGTACGGAGATGGTGACCTCCTCCTGTGGGGTGACAAAAACAATCCCTTTGTTAAAACCTGCACAGCCGAGTGGCAGCACCTTTATGTGGGTAGCTCTAACCTCATCCTGGTCTCAGGAATGCACTTGGGAAAGCTAACAACATGGGAAACCTGATCAACATTTCTACTGGGCAACAAAGCAAAGGTCTGAATTCTCTTTTTTGTTACCAGTATTATTTTTGACTAACACAACAAACACAAGCTCTTGCACTCACAATCTGCTTTCATGTGAATTTAGTCTGAAGCCAGGAGCATCCCACACAAGCAGGGTAAGCCAAATCCACCTTCATTTTTAATCTGAATTACTTGTCCCAGGTGAAGATTTCCTTGACTTGCAGTCAGTGCTGCAGCCAGGCACCCCCAAACCCCTCCACCAATCCAGGCACTCCCAAGTTCTGTGTTTCCTTACCTAGTTCCACTAATCCATTACTCACCTGTAAAACTGATCCCTGTCCTGAACAGCTCTCCAGCCTCCTCCACCACCACCACCTCCTCCTCTGTGAAAACAAAAGCAGAGTGACTTTTAGGAATTAAAAAAATAAACAAAAAGTTCACTGTACAAAACCCTCTTGTAATCAGAGTAAGAAAATGATGTGACGATAAGACAATTTTAGTTCCTACACTGAATGATCCTGAATTACTTCATTTAACATTGATTTTTAAAGACTTATCTACTCAAGGAAAACCCTTTTACTTATTTTCAAGTAGCAAGATCAACTCACTATCCTGAGGAAAAATACTGATTCCAAGGTGGAGGCAGGGAAAATCCTCCCATCCTGACATTTTAACACTTTCGAGTTACATTTAAACAAGAACTGTGATGTAACTTCTTGCAGAGAACAGAAACAACATTTTACAGCATTAATAGAGGGGCTGGACTGGAACCTCTTCAGGTTCAGATCAGAAAAGCTTTACCATACCAGGACACTAAATCAAGTTTAAAATCTTCCCCAGTTGTTTCTGGGGGAATGCTTTTTTAAAGGTTATTCCCTTATTTACTGACACTTTTTCAGGCATTATTAAGCCTCCCACAGCAACAAGGAGAAATTGAAGTTTTAAGAGGACAATTCCCATCTGACACTGCATTTCCCTTAAGGCCTCATTTTCACAGAGGGCAGGGAACGCAAAGGAATTGTTACCAATGGAATTTTTAGGGTGGGGTATGCAATGCTCCACTGCATCTTGAACAATTCCAACTTTTCCTTCCTCAGGGAAGCACTCAACATACCAACACTTCTCTTTTCTCAACTAACCCATGTCTGCAGGGAGGGAAAGTCGCAGACCATGACATTTTTTATGTAGCCACACACAAGTCGTTTGTGGCTCAGTATTTATTCACAGAATCCCAAAATGGTTTGGGCTGGAAGGTCAGGCTCTCCCCTGACCCAATCACGACTTCTGGTAACATCCAAAAACCCCTGTCAGAATGAAAAGGCACCACTCAAGCACTGAAGACTTGGGCCCATACTGTAACTGTCACACAGAATTCTACAAGTGCAGGAATGTTTGGTAGTGCAGACAGAAAAAAATCAACTCCTATCTTTCTGTTCAACTTAACAAGTGTCCCAGAAATTGTGAGGATTTTGCAGGGGACAAGGACTTTGCTGGAAAATGCAGAAAAGCAATTTCTCTATCACCAAAACCAACTACACCCCAACCATGATTACACACACATCCAACCTGACAAAGGGTGTTAAAAAAGCCTTCTAATGCAGATGTCCAATACATAACACGTCATGCTCCAACCTCCAATTCCTTATTTTTGGCAACATTTGAGGTGTCATAATTATCAGCAGGAGATACTGGAGACCACTGAAATTTCCCACTTTTTATCTACTACACTGTGCTTCAAATATAAGTTGACACTATAATACCAACTCAAATATTAATCTGCACCATTTCAGTGCTAACAGATGAACCAAGTGAAGATCCTAAACCGAAAATACAAAGAACACACTGTTTTTCAAAACTTAATGCAGATTCAGAAAACATTTTGGACTAAGCCAGGCCACAGGTTAAACACCATCAAGTATTTCTCAATCCAATCAGATTTGAACTGAGCAGTTATTTCGGTGAAGATTTCACGGGAAGATTCCAGAATGACAGTGAATGCAAAAACATTCTGGAACAGTTATGTATGACAAACTGCCTAATGCCTGCACAGACAGATGAGAAAGCAGAGTTTAGAAAGCAGCAAAATATTCCCAATATGCTCACCTGTATGACCTGCTGTAATAGTCACGGTCATCATAGCCTCTGTCATAGCCTCTGTCATAGTAATCTCGTCGCCGTGAGCTGCCACTGCAAGGAGTGAAGGAAATTGCATTTGCTGAGATACAAAACATTCATTTTGTCTGTAGTCTGCTAAATTCATACTATTTAAACTAATTATATTACTTCCCATCCTCACAGCTGGAAGACTAAGAGCACTCCTGTTTTCCCACCAGTGCAGGTGGGAACAGAACTACTTAAATAATTGCTTTTTAAATGCTTGAACTTTCAGTTATTTTCCTCAACCTTTATAAACCTCAGCCTTTTGGTATCACAGGCACATGAGGAATTCCATTCTGAGGCAAGTCTTCATTCACTTTTAGCTCTGAAAAAGCTCCTGTTCAATCAACTTCCTGACTAAATAAATCCAAAACCTCTAGTCTCAACACAGCATCACTATAACCACCAGTAAGCTGAAAGTCTTGGGAAATGAACTGGGGAATGACTTGGGAAAACCATTTACACTGCTGGCAACTGGAAGTCAAAAGTGCAGTGCGTGAACACAGCAAAGTGCTAATCTCAAAAGTTAACTGAGCCATTTAACAGCTCCTCATCCTGTATTTGTTCATTCACTCTTGAAAATCTGAGCTTGCAAAGGACATGAATATTTGAAGGTACACAGGAAAATGACTTAATTTAGAAACTGTCAAAATCTCTTCCTGTTGATGCATGCAGAACTACTGATGCTCATGTCTGGCATTTTCAGTGTACAGCACAGCAGCCATAAACAAGGAAACACAACTTGTGCATTGATGTGTGAGCCCAAGAAACCAGGAAAACCACTCACGATCAGGTCTCTCAGAGGAGAAACAAGAGTTTTTACAGAATAGTGAATCCCATCCCGTACTGGTGTGGGGGAAAAAGACTCAACCAAAAACCATGGATAAAACTTACTAAGTGGGTCTTCCCATATAGATTCCAGGGGTAGGTGTGTGAGGTCTTTTTGTTATGGAGAAGTCTACCCGGATCCTTCTTCCATCCAGCTCCATTCCATTGGCACGTTCCTTTGCCTAAGGAGTGACAGAAGAACATCTGCTGTGGGTATGAACTTTAGCAACACGAATTTCTAACCACTGCTTTGAGTGTTAAAATGTCCCAAAAAATGGCTGAGTTTGGAGGCAGGTCTGAGTGTCACATCTTACAGTGAATATACTGTGTAAGACACTCTAGGCCAGCTGGACTTAAGTGCTAGTAACCACTGAAACTGTAACTTCTGTGGCAATAAAATCCTGAAAAGAACATCACTGAGAAATTGTTCCAGTGCCTCTGACATGATTAGGAGCAACCTTTGAACATGCTGATGTAGGGAGATGTAACTACTCCACTACAGAACATAAAACATTTACATATTAAAAGACCACCACTAAGGTATTCAAATACATCCTTCAGACTACCATAACCTTGAATGCAGTATCAGAGTCACAAATAAAATTAAAAAAACAAAAACAATTTTTTTTTTTTTGGTCTGCCAAGTAGCAGGACCTACACATCAAGCTCCAAACCAACACGGAAGCCTTCATGCCAGATGTGGAAAAGACTGGAGACTTTCTGGAGTGGAGTTTATGTGGAATATAAGCCTTGTTCCAGCCCATAAAGGGCAGCTCTACAAGGACTGGCTCGAGTGTAGGGTTTTCTGCTGGGTGACTACAGAATTCCCAATTCACTGTGCAGCACTCCTAAGCCCAAATTCCACGATTACGAGATTCCAAGTGCTTTTCAGGCTATGAGTTTCCCCTCGTGACAGAACATACACCCCAGGGGCTCAGCAAACACAGCCCACACCGTGCACCCCAACCTACTTCCTTGGCATCCTCGACGTTCTCGAAGTAGACGAAGGCGAAGCCGCGGGAGCGCCGCGACTGCTGATCGTACACGATGGACACGTCGGCAATGGGGCCGTACTTGGAGAAAACCTCTCGCAGGTCTCGCTCTGTAGTGTACAGACTCAGCCCAAACACTCCCAGACAACAGTTTGGATCAGGATTTGCCTAAAGGAAGATACACAGATGTTAGAATGGGTTTATTTGCAGTGCGATGTATTTCTCAGTTGTGACTGTCAGGGCTTAAGATGAACAACAACAACAAAGGTGTGGCTGAGATTTGGGTCACCTGCTAATAGACAGGAATAAATAAAACCTCCAGGAACACGAGCCTTTCACAAAACCCCTTTGTGTTTCTCAGGGCAAAGACACCGACCCCAGGATGATCCAGGACTGTGACTCATGCCTCACACACGTACCCTGTTCCCAATGTGACGTCTCCGAGTAGACATGGGGGAATGGCTGTGACTGTGCCGCCGCCGGTAGTCCCGACTGTACGACCTGCTTCTGGATCTCCTGTGTGAGCGGGACCGCGAGCGGGACCTGGTGTAGTGTCTGCGCGAACTCCTCCTTGATCTAGACCTGAGGGAAACAAGAGAAAGGAACAGTGTTGGGCTTGTTGGGGTGTTTAACACTTGAAAAATCCATCAGGTAGTCAAAAAACGCTCAAATAATTATTTTCCAGAATCCTGCAGTACCACATACCTCAGCTATATAATCCATCTGCTCACTGCTCTCAAGGACTGTGTGCTAAATCTTTCCTATCAGATTACTGCAGATGCTCTCAGGGCATTCCTGCTGCAGTCCAGAACTTGCACTTGCTCACAGTCAGCTCTTTAACAAAGCTACCTGGGTGTGACACACTAGCACTTAGAATATTCAGTGTTTAGGTAAAAACAAGTGGGGTGGCTTTTCTTTTAACACAAAGCATGCACCACTGAGGGCAACACTCTCTTCCTGCTGCCCTGGGTGATACTGAGAAGGAAATGTCCCTGAAATCAGAGCTGAATGCAATCTGAAGAAATCAAGCCTGAGCTGACTTGTTTACCTGCTGGTATTTCAGGAGTTATTTAGCACTGCTTGCTCATGAATATTTACATGTTCACACTCTTAAGTACATTTATGCAAAGGTGCAACTGCTCCCTAATTTCTTTCCCCAAAAATATTTTCTTACATCACGAGCTCTGTGGCCATGAGGGCCTGACTGAAACTCTTCAACTCCTTCTCCTGAAGGCTCAGCTTTCCCAACACAGCCAATCCTAGAGGAGAAGCTGGGCACTCACACGGGGCTACTACACCTGATCTTGGTCTGCTGATGGCTGCAGTGAATAACCTGCATTCCACACCACTCCAAAGAAAAACCCCTGCAAGGCTAAGAAGTGCAATAAACAGTGTAAGAGCCAATGGATCTGAGTCACAAATTGCTGATTTTCAGGCTCTTTCAGGTCTGGAATGTCCCCTTCCTCTAATTCCACAGCAGCACCACACCACTGGCATGAAGGAAGCTCTGAACCTGAACTGCTTTTACTCCTGAGCATTTAACAGCTTCTTCCAGGATTTCTCACCAAGGATCACCAGACAGCCAAACTGTTCCATCTATCTCCTCAAAAAACACCTCCAACTTCATCAGGCGTGAGCCAGAGAAGCTGAACTTAAAATGAATATTCATGTCCAGGAGAAACTAATTCAGCATGTCCCATTACAGCACTTCTCACTATGCATTTATAAAGAAAGCATCATTTTTGGCAATTAAAAAAAAAAAAAGAAGAGAGAACTTCCCTGAAGCTGGGAAAGCAGTACAAAACCAGAAATTATAATATCAATAGCAAAAAAAGAAGCTCCACACATGCACACAGCCACATTTCAGCCCCTGATATACGAAAAAAAAAAAATTAAGGTAAACACAGAACTGGTATTTCAAATACCAGAATGGTATCAGCCAAAGACAGGAGCTACAAACTTCAATAAAAGTAGATTTTAAAATCAAGTATATCCACACCCCAACTGATAAAAACACCAGGAGACAGGTTGGTTCCCAAATCAAAGTTTAATTTATAAAGCTGGTAACTCAAAAATACATTTGCAACAGAAACTACCAAGAAATATAGAAATTATCACAGGGTTATTTCTCTGGGGAAGCCAGAGTTCAATGATCTGCACGTGACCACATCCCAATGTGTGACAGCACTGAACAGAGATTAAAGTATGTTGTTTCTAAATACGTGCCTCGACACAATTCTGTCCAAACCTACTAATCAACACTAACTCTGGCATGTCATTCCATTATTTCCAGCTATAGGCATCTTCAAGACAGCTGTTAAATGCTCAGGAAGCCATGCTAGTTATAAACTTCTGCTTTTTGGTCATCAAAAAGTAGGAAGTCAGTTATTTATTTATTTATTTAAACACTGTTTATTGCAAAAGTAAGATTTGCCAAGCCTCTCAGAAATTCTACATCTTATATTTTCATCTTCAGAATTGTGTACCATCCGTGACTGCATTTTTAATCAGTATTGTGGTTATTCTGCAAGTGGGAGATGTCTTAAGGAGTATGGAATCCCTGGAGCCATATGAATTAAGGAGAATACACTGCGAGGGTGTCCTGACTTTGTTGTTTTAATATTAGAAGGTTCCCCAGAGGTGTTTTGCAGCCTCCTTCCCCCGAGGTTTTCATGCCCTGACAGCAGGGGCTGAGCCCAGAGCTGAGTGCCCCAAGCAGGATGTGGGGCTGGGCCCTTCCTGAGCTGCCCCATCATCTCTCACTGCTGGCACTCCCACAGCTCACTCCAATTCCACACTCAAGTGATGGTACAACTCTAACAAGAATTTACTCCTTTTATTTGACACATTTCTTCTTACACTACAGGGACTGCCAGCCACATGATATGACATTTGTGACTGAGCCTGAATTAAACAAAAAAACATCATTCTTCTGCTGTCAAGGCTTCCCAACTACCTTCCTTCTCACAAAAGCCTTTCTGTTTGATCTTGCAAGATTTAACACACTATTTGATAGTGTTTCCAACGGTGGGTGATTGCTGACAGCACAGTATCTTCCTCCAGCCTGCTCCCAGGCTTTGGCAGTTGCTTGCTCACACAAAAAGTGTGTTGTAAATAGCTCACCTGAAAACCACACTGCTAAAATATCACCTTTTTTTGCCCGAATGCCTACAAAATGGGTACAGAAATGATCAACACATTAATTTCTGTAGTCAGCAGCCAACTATCTACTCCTCCAAGAGGAATTCTGAGCCTGCACACAGCTTGTTTGGCAGGTGAGTATCAGGAGAGGGAATACAGTGCAATAGGCACGTGGATGTTTGTGCTGCCACCTAACAAACACAACAAGCAAGTCCTGCACAACTTTTCTGGAGAACTTGCAGAGCTAATATTCAAAGTTCCCTACCCTGTTAATTTTCAAGTTAAATCAACGTATTCAAAATGTCAGACTGTGAAATTAAAACTTATCTCTACTGCTTCTTTTCACTACTCCAGGACCATCACTGCTTCCAGTGAAGACACATAATAAATGAATGTGGCTTAAAATGGGAAATCTGCTCATGCACCAAACTCTGTTAATGCACAGAAAAACTAAGACCTAGAGTTCCTAGTACTCCACGCTCAGACACAAGTCAATATTCCAAGAGATAAAAGGCAGGCACTTCCAAAGTGTATCAGCAAGGATACAAACATACACAGCTGACTTAACTGTTGGAAGCAGCAGCAAAAATATCTGAATTTATATAATTTGGCTTTTCCAATCCTGAAACCACACACACCCCTTTGTATTCCACATCCAGATCCACTAACTCTGGAAACAGAACTGGCTAAGCTGGGCCACCTCTGACAATCATCTGACTTGTGAGGAGGAGGAAGAGGTAAAAGAAGCCAACTCACCTGGATTCAGACCTGGATCTAGATTTTGACCTGGAGCGCCTGGAATCCTCCTTAGAGCGAGATCTTGCAGGGGTGTGCCTCCCCGACTTGCCAGACCCATGAGCACTTCCGCTTCTGGAAGCAGAACGGGATTCCTGCACGCAGATATTGAAAGCCTAATTTGTACACAATTCCTTGTTCACCTACGGGCTGTAAACAAGCTCCAGTGAAATAAATGGTAAATATTCATAGCTATGTGTCCGGGCAGTCGGCATTAGCACTGCCTAGATTTTTAAGGAGGTTTTTTTTTTTTTTTCCCTGGTAGACACTTCTTTACCCTGCATGTACTTTTGCTATTAAACAGATAATGCATGCATGTTTAGCAAAATATACAGGGACACATAAACAGACTAGTAATTACTTAGCGTAGTGCTTTCAGATTCCAGATTACTTCTTATCTTAACTTCATTTTTATTCCTTTTCTTCATTCTTCCGTTTCAAATTCTGACTTCTTTCATCTTCCCCACTTCACACAAATTGCTCAATATTCTACAAGTGGGACTTCTGGTCTGATAATTAGCATGCATTCACTTTCTTTTTTTTCAAATTTCAGCTTCACTTATTCCTGAGCTTCAAATAATTCTCATTTATAAAACTTGTCAAATGGCGACTTCCGCATTTTCCTTCTTCAACATTAACCTTAATAGAAAAAGAACAGGATGAAGAATATTTAAGAACTCCAGGATAAAATCTAGTGCCAAAACTGAAACTAGAAAAAAAAAAGTGTTGTGGACTTTTACTATAAATGCAGTTCAAGAATTGAATCTACCAAAGCCCTACAATTTTATCAACAGGTTCAGTCAACTCAGTTTAACTTAGCCCTAAGCAGCTGAATTTGCTATTTATGCCTGTATTTAACAGCAAGTGCAACTAGATCAACTGAGTACCTACTAAGGAATTGCAGCATCAGGAAATTCAAAATAATTTGCACTATCAGCCACACACTGAGACAAAATCACCAAGGAGTGACTGCAGTGAGGTCGTGCTGCAGCCACTGACCGATGTGCTTTTGAATGCAGAAAGCATGGTTGGTCCTTCCCAGGAAATCCCACGATTTTGGGTCCCTCCTGCACTTTGGCAGCCCTGGTGTGAAGGTTTAGGAGCACACACCCCCAGCTGCGTGCACAAGTGGGATTACATGTGCAGGCATCGTGTTTCCACAGAAATCTGAATTTCCCACTGACCAGAAGTGCTCTGGAATAACACCCCACCTGCTCTGTTATTTACTGGCAATCTCATCTGGCAGTGACACGACCTAATTAGCAGTTTCAGCTTATGTGTTTTTATTTTTAAATCAGTGTAATACTTTGCTTCAGTCATATGCTTTAAACACATGAACACAGTACTAATAGAAAGTATTCTTCATTTCAAGGCATTAGAGAAAATTTAAAATTCAGCAGAATTATACTTCTTTCTAAAAACAATCCTAAATCTAGTGGCAATTCTGATGAAGAAAGCTCACTAATGACACTGGGTACCAGATTTTTCTCAAAAATCCCGTTTTATCTTTCTAACATCTCTTAAGCCTGAACACTAACTTAATGGGACTGAACACTAACTTAATGGGAATCCTGTACTAAGCATTCAGAAATTCATTTGCTAACCCGGAATTTAATCATGCTTCAACCACTTCCATACAACTTCAACATTACAATTTCCTACCATACAAGGGAAATAAACATGAGGTACAGGTTAAAGCAGGTTTGCAATTAAACCCAAGAGCAACAGAAACAGCACAATGTTGGCCAAGTATTCTTCATACAGATATTTAAGGTTTTGCTCTAAACTACAGCTTCCCCATGTCCTAACACTGCAAAGGGCAGAGGGAATATTAGGCAGCAATTTAAGTTACAATTAATTAATTTAACCTAAATCCAGTATTATCTTCCAAAGAAAACACTCCACAGAGATGAGTTCTGAGTTAATACATTAATTTTGCCGTAAGAAGTCTTAGCTCTTTAACAGTCAGACAAAGCAAGATTGAAGGAGGACTAAAACCCAAACTAAGGCTGCTTTTCACCAGAGGAAAAATACTTAAACTCACAAAAGATAATCTGGGCTAAACAGAAGGAGCTATGTGCAAACACAGGTGGTCTGAGACCAGAAAGAAAAGGAGAAATGCAGGGAAGCAGTTGGGAGGATTTTGCCCACAAATACACCCCAAACCCTTTCCCAGAGCTTTTAGAAGTCAAAAAGCTATGAAGAAATGAGCAGAGAACAGGTAAGTCTTCATAGATTTGGTGTATTTTTCAGGCAATCTTTGCTGTATTACGTTAAGGTTGATGTAGAATCTCTACACTGAGGAGCTGAGCGGAAATTTGGGATGAAAAAGTCTTAAAGACAACCACCTACCTAAATCAAAACAATTAAACAGCTGGCCTATTTTCATTCAACTCCTCTGCATTTCACATTTCCCAGTCTTTAAATATCCGTTTTTTTCCCCAAGATCATCCTTCAATCCACCACACATTACAGTATTATGGCACTTCTTTATTCCAGCCTTAAATGAATTCAATGCACCTCACCTCCTCTGGATATCATCAGGACTGGTAACAACCTCCAAAATTACCAAATTGCCCCTTTTCCACCCCAAACCCCAAAAAATCTTCCCTATCCAAAGTTCCAAGAACCTGTGCCTGCAGCACTGCAAATTTATTTTACACCCTTGAAGGTACACATCAGTCACTCCCACTGCTTGTTTCTCCCATCTGGTTTTGTTGTTATTTGTATTTTATTTTCTCACTCTTTGCTCTTTCAAATTTTAAGTCAGTGAAAAATGCCAAAGTGTGCTCCTGGCATGACACGGGGAAGAGGGAAGAAACAATCTTCTTTACCCTGCCTGTATTCCAGCACTGCTGGTCAGCAGATCCAGACCGATATTCACTAAACAATGACCATTTCCCCCCCCCGCTAACCTTAAGTTCGTCAAGTGTGAATTTAACCTCCCTCCCCAGATCCCCTGGTTATTATCAACAGCTCTTCTCCTTCATCAGGCACTTCTGGAATTCACGTGGAAGCCCAGGCTTGTGGATTCCAAATGGTTCTTTCCAGGCCTTGAGCACATTCAAACCAAGTGCTGGGATGATTTTAGCAGCTCTAAGCACACTCACAAAGAGCATTACAGCCGTGTACTCTGAGCAGGGAACGTCCCAAAGCAGGATTATTTGGGGGGCAGAGGTAGGAAAGGTTTCCATGGACAGAAGCAGCTGGAAAGTAGGTGATGGCCACAGTTCTTTGCACTTCTGAGATCCAGGTTTTCCTCACAGGAATGGATGTCACAGTATTTCAGTCAATAACGTAAGATACAGAGAAATAAAAGTATTAAGGTTTTATAATCACGTATTTGTGTGAAGTTATGTATTTCCACTTGTTTTCCTAAGGAAAGGTGCAGCCTCATGTGACATTATCAGATCTGCAGCCTCTTTACTCACGGTGTCACCGTGCTGACTCCACATTTCCCAACTTCTGCATTATGAAAGTTGCCTCTTCCCCTGAGGGACACGAGATCACTGCTAGGGGAGCTGGGGATTCACTCGAGGCAGAGCAGAACCATCCCTTCTCCACAGCTTTCCAAACTCCATAGAGAAGGAACATAGCGTGTTTTGAAAAACCAGGCCACAGCTTCCTCCCACCGCCTCTGCCACCGGCCCTGTGGGCTCCTTCAGTGCCCCAAGCTGGAAATTAATCCATCAGCGAAATCCAAATTATCTTCTGACAGGTTTGGGCACTGAATAAACTCCTCAAGAGGCCTCATCAAGTGCCAGCTGGTGAGGGAGGAACACTGGGAATGTATGTTCTGGAGCAGGATCATCCATCCACACACCATCCCTCAGCTCATCTCAAACTGCTCCCTCAGACCTCCTTCTCACACCATTTAGTATTAAAAAAATCACTCTTTTTTGAAAGTCCATGTATTAAATACCTTTTAACTAATCTGCAAATTGAGCTTTTATACATTAAAAACAAACAAACAACCCCCCCCCACCCTGGCTTGTATATTGAACAGCTTCTGACCACACACCAAGCCATCGCTATCATAATTAACTGATTCACAAGGTAGGATTCATTAATTAGGCCTTTAACTCATCTTTTTCCAACCCCTCCATGCCTGAATCCCATGTGCTTCAGTGACAACAATTTCAATGAAAAGAAAATTAATTTGGAAAACCATAGCATTGCAGCATAACAACAGCAAAGTATATTCCAGTATTTAAGTATTGGAAGCATTTCATAATTTACAGATTCTTCAGTCAAAAAGTTTCTAGAGTTCATCCCACTATGGAGCATAAGCTGTCAAAGAGAATTCAAGTGGGGATTTTTTCTTCTTATCTTCCCCTTTTCTTTTTAATAATGCCATAATCCGGTGTAAATTCGTGCTGCTACTTAAGCAAGCCCCATTCCTGGCAAAAGCACCTGGAATTTCTTCATCCCAAAAGCTGCCATGAGGACTCAATCAAGTCAGGCCTGCAAACCAATGCAGCTGGAAATGGAGTAAAACAAGATCCAGCTGACTGAATTCCCAGATCTGACTGAAGGAACACCGCAACGGGAGAGAGCAGGAGCACAATTCCTGCTGGCAGCCTGCACCTAGGACAGTTTAAAATAGTTGCAATCATATTCCAGATTATTTATCCAAACACTTAACTCTACTCTGCAGAGACTCCAGCTTGGAAAAGCACAAAAGCCATTGACTCAGTAAAACATAAACCTTAAGTAAACAAAAAAACCCCATAAATAACACTGGCAAGAGCAGAAGGAAAACCAATCCCTGCTCCAGTCTGGAACAGCAGGTGTGCAGCTCTATGGTTTCACCTTTAAAAACACGTCCATTTTAAACTTACCTATTTAAAAATCACAAAAGTGCAGACATAACTCATTTTAGGCACTGGCAAAGACTGCCTACAAATTCTTTAATACGTCTTTTAAATTAAAAATATAAAAACGCAGCAGACAACAATTTTTCTCCCAGTACTCCGCACGACTGTATTTCACACAAAAAGACTTTGCTATAGAAGCTTTATTGTTTCCACTCTTTCTGACTGAAAACACAAGGCAGTTATCCTGGCAAACTTTATTAGACTAAACTGGCTTCAAGTCCGACCTCCACAACAATTAAAGCATCTTTTAAAAAAATAACACACAAATAATTCACCCTGCGCAAAAAAATACCCCCTCACTAAAAACTTCCGAGTGAATAAAGATACCAATGAAAACACTGGCGTTGGCAGCAGTCTATTCCTTAATCCCCGTCTTTCCCCATTCATTCCCATTTTTAGCCCCCGGAGACCAATTTTTTCTCATCTTACCTACCTTGAAGTAGAAACACAAAGATATTACAGTTTCTTATAGAGGATTAATAAGATAAAAACCATATCCTAAGACATTGCTTAGAATTATTACGTCCTCTAATAATTCTTGCCCCGTCCAGTTTAAACCTTAGGACCTTATCACCTCCACAACTCCCTCCGATGCTGCAGCAAAATATTTCAATTACTCTAAGAAAATCCCTCAAACTGACCCTAAATAAAGACATCAAAGGCAAACAAGGCTGATCCAGTAAATAAAAATGCAGATGTGCATCACAAACGGGAAGCTTAGCAAGTCATCTACTTCGACATCAATAAAAACTCATGCGGACAATGAGATCTTCCCGAAACTATGAGCCTTGACAGATATCTGCTGCAGATTTCACAAAGCCAAGGGGTTGCCTCCGATAATCAAGTTTAAATTAGAGGAGAGCCCGAGTCACCTAGACACCAGGCCCGAGAATTATTGCACAGGGGAGAAGGAGCGAAAAACAGTCTAAATTAGAAAGCAATTCGAGACTGGATTGCAAGGCGGCTCTGGAGAGAGGATAATAACAGAATTCCCCTTCCGCAAGGGTGGGATAAAGGACGAGGGGCCCCTGAGGGCTCGGGGCCGCCATTTTGTCCCTCCCGGGCGCGCGCGGTCCCGGCCCAAGATGGCGCCGGGCGCCTCACGCGGGGAGCGGCCCCTCCGCCATGGGCCCCGCCGCGCCGCCTCACCCGCCACTCCGCTCCCGCGGAGGCTCCGCCACCCGCGAAAGAGGACACGGGGGGACACGGGGGAACGCGGAGGCGCCGGCGCCACCCGAAGGCGATGGAGGGGTGTGTGGGGAGGGGAAAGAGAGGGGACCCGGCCGCGCAGCGCGCTCGGGCTCCGAGTATTACCCGCTCGCCGTAGTTTTGCTCCCCGCTGTCGCTCATCGTCCCGTCCCGCCGCTCACGCCGCCGCCCGAACCGGACACGACCGTCCCCGGCGACAGCGCCGTCCGCGCGGGAAGTGACGAGAGCGCGGGGCCGCGCGCGCGCGCGCTCGGCAGGACACGCCCCCAGAGGGGACATCCCTGAGCCGGGGGCCGCGCCCACGCCACAAAGCCACGCCCCACACGGCACCGCCCACGAAGAGAAGACCACGCCTCTGACTTTAGGCCACGCCCCCGCGTTTACGCGCCTTTAGGAAGGCCACGCCCCTGGCCTGAAGCCGCCCGTGAGGCGAGACCACGCCCGCAGCGTGGCCACGC